CATCAACTAACATGTCTCTTGATAAGAAAAGGATTCATCAGTCATTAGAACAAACTCTTTCTTCAATAATATTCAATGTTGATAGTACTGCATGTAATGTCACTGCTCTAAATACGATTTATATTTTTTAGTCGATAATAGAGTGTGGGTGTGTGAGAAGAAGGAACTGATACACCAAAAATCAGATTCACATCCACACCTATACCCCACATCCAGCTAATCTCTTCTTACTAGCATTATTTCATTGATTGAAGATCGGCACATCGTCTACACTCCAAAATATTCAACAATTCAATTTGTAAGGATTTCTTGTTAGAAAATATAAAGTAATTGCTAAAAACTGACGGCAAAATAAGCAGCCAACATGATATCAGCACTGATTATTAAATGTTTAAGTACTTTATGAAGTTCATGTAAACATTTATGTAAACATGTTGTCAAATCTTCCAGTGTATCTGTATCAATAGTTGAGGCTTCGCCAAAACTAACATGAAAACGAACATTATAACGATTTCTAAATCGTTCTAACCAACCATTACTAGTTTAAAAATCTGATGAATCATTGATTTCTTCAGCGATCTTTCTAGCATGTGCATGCAAAATAGGATCAGAAACTGGAATTTTCTTCGCTCTTTGAGAAATGCACGATTCATAGATGATATCATTGATAGTTTATGAAACTTAATGATTCACCTTCCCCTTCACTTTTTCGCTTAGATTAGTTTCATAATCAGTAATATATTCGTTTTTTTTCTTTTAAGTATATTTGACACAGGATCGATAGAAACTTGAAATTTATCTCTTAATTCACGATAAGATAAACCACGTTCTTTATCTCTAATCAAATTCATTTTTTGTTCTAAATCAAGATCATTCCGACATATGATTTAATGATACACAATGATTCAGAGATTATTTTAACATACAATGATATCTGTTTGTCCACTGTTTTCTTTTTTCGAAATTATTGAATAAAAATTAGAGCCAATCAATTTCTTGATAATCGTCAATCACTGATCGAATCGTATAATTTATACAAGTGACGCCTTCTATTGACGTTCACAGTGACAAGGTTAATACATACAGACGAGACAAAAAAATATGCGTTTACATTCAGAATCGCGCGATGTTCATAAAGGAGGAGTGCAAATCCAACGAAATTTGTTCCTGGGTATCGGAGAGTGTGCCATATAATAGGTTGTTGATAAAGGAAGGGTCTTCACAAATAGAGGTTTTAATGTATATGTTTATTTTTTTTTTCGTTCTTTTTCTTCTCGCTGATGTATTTCTACATGGTAAATGAAACGCAATAGATACATATTTATATTCTTCTTCTTCCATTTCTCCGTGGTATGTTTGACTTTATGTGGGATGAACCATATCTTCTTAAACAGAAACAATTTCCTGATCGATTGGTCTAATTGTCCACTGATGTAGTCATTTGCTATGGAATTTTCCTTTCCCGTCAAACATATACATATATGATAGACTTTTTCCCTTTCCTTCTGTTCTTTTGTCTTTTATGTTGTTGCCTTTTATGCTATTTAATGAATTTTCCTTTTCATGTTTACCATCTAGGGAATTTTTCGCTCTATGGATTTTCCCCATATTATCACCTTATACATATAGTCATTACATTGTTGTTAAAAAGAAAGACATATATAGTGATATTGAAATAAAGTACAAGCGGGATTAAGATCTCATAAATGGTTTGAGTTCATATGATTTAGTATGTTGAGTAGTATCGTCGACGAATCAAGCTACGTAATGGACGAATAAAACTATACCTGTTTAGTCGTGACCAAACTGTTGTGTTTCGTCTAGTTACTTTTTTTCGACTCATCCAACATGCTTTGGTCGCTCGATATGCCATATTTTCTCCCTTATTACCTGTGTCTATGAAGTCTTATCGGCCGATCGATAAACTATTGTGATCCATAGTCCATTCTCCTCAGAGAAATCCCCAGTGAGTCCCCTGAAGAAAGTGAAATCCTCGGTTAGTCAGCAGGGAATCTCAGAAAGTTCTACGGGGAGTCCCTAAAATGTGGGGACTCCCAGGGGATATTCCAGACAGCCCCTTGCTTTTAGGAAGTGGAGAGGAAGCAACATACTTCCTGGGGAGTCACCCTGTGGGAATTCTCCCGAGAGTATGTTTTCGTTGATTTTAAGTCCATGACAAATCTCAGTGATATTATCACTGAGTTTTAGCCCATTGGAAGACAAGTATGCTGTAATATAGATAGATAGGTAGATAAATAGATAGTTAGGCAGATATATACATAGACGGATACGTAGGTAGGTAGCTATATAGACAGATGGGCAAGCAGATAAGTAGGCAGGTAGATAGGTACATATGCCGCTCAATGATGATGTCACTGATAAATGCCATGTGCTAGCTTTTATATGCATTGGAAAACTACTCTTTAGGAGTGACTACAGAATCACTTATACACTTGCTCGCTGAAGAATTCCTAGGAATTTCCAATAAAGTGGCTCTGAAGTTCGGAGAGACTCATGATAGGGAGATTCCAGAGATTTTTCCGAGGACTCTTTAGAGATTCGTTAAGAATTATTGACTAGGGATATGTTTCGCATGTTTGTAGATCATTTTATTCTTCCCAGGCCGTATCGTCATTATTCGGATGCAAATAGACAAGTGTGCTGTTATTCCTGTATAAAAGTCGATATGAGCTTATTGTGTAGCGAAAATATATAATTGAGAATGGTTTTTTTTGTGTTTATCTACGATTGAATTTCTTGCCCATTTTTTTTACAATCAAGCAGATGGATAGATAAATGTTGTTGATGTAGGGTCTTCTTTGAATATTTTGAATCGGTAGTGAATAAAATCACATTTAACAATTTTCATTTCTTTTTCATATGAATAAATACTTCAATCGAGCTGATTGTTGAATGTACACTGTCTCTCTTCTGCGGTTAGCCTAAATTTTGAAATATGCAAGCTTTTCGAATAGTCTGAGAAAATTTAACTATATCGAAAGTCAAAGAGAAAGAAATTCATTATTCTTTTCAGATGAAATCTTTCTAGGTAAGAAAGTACGAGTTCAATAAACACATCGTTGTTTTTTGCAGACAATTTTGACACAATTTCTCATGAAACAAAATTTCTATGAAGTGTAGATTGAGTCAAACAAAGAATATCGAAATTTTCTTTCGAATCTTTCATATGTGAATTATCTTAACAAGATGCAGTATTTATATACAGGCACCCGTATTTACAAATGCATATTGTATGTCGATGTGTGATTTATGAGCACACACGACAGAGTACAACAACGCCTTATCTGATGAATTTCAACGTTTTGTATCATTTTTGCCTCTCTTTTATATTACTAATTCTAAAAGATGAAAATCATTTGTTTTCCAAGTCCATCGACTTCACCTTTGTATTTCTGTATTGGTTTCATGACCATACTTTTGTAACCATTTGAGTTGTTCCCGAACGTTGACTTTTCCATGTCAAGGATTTTTGTTTAGTGAATGCCCTTCATTCGGAAACACTAGCAACTTGATAGGTATTCCTCGATAATAGAGGCCACGTTCTAGCATACAACTTTGATCAGCAGGCACTCGTCTATCATTTTCCCCAGTGATAATATGTGTAGGTGTGCGTACTTTATCTAAATGATAGATAGGTGATTCATTCTGATATGTATATGGTACTTCCCATGGAAATCCACCGAATAAATAATTGAGATGTACAGATAGATCCATTGTTTTCCAAGCCGAGATATGATCTGTTGAACCTGCACCGGACAATGCAGCATTGAAACGTGTTGTTTGTGTAATCAACCAGTTGGTCAAAAACCCTCCGCAGCTATAACCTCCAATAGCAAGATTATCTGGATTGGCAATGCCATCCTGAATTAAACGATCGACACCCGCAAGAATGTTCTTTCAAGGTCGCGATAATGGATAAAAACGAACTTCGCTAAGAAATTTATCTCCGTATCCGGTTGATCCTCGATAATTTGGTTCTAAAACTAGCCAACCTTCGGATGCAGCCAATGAGGCCCAATAATTTGTGCTTGCCTGAAAACGATTGATACTTGCTGAATATGGACCACCATGAATGAAAACGAGAACTGGCAGATTTTGTAATTCGAATTTTCCTGGTGGATAATATAAAATTCTTTCAATCATACGATGATCTTCATTATTGATCCATTGATAGACTTTTGTTTCAGGCAAATTACGTCGCGTAAAAAGTTGGTTTTCGTTCGTGATCATTTTAGCCATTCGAAGTTCATTAATATTATCAACAAAATAAACTTCTTTCGGTTGTCGGAATGATGAGTGAACAAAAGCAAGCCAATCGTGTGAATTCATTGATGATAATGAAATCAATTCATATGTTCCTTTCCAGCCACGATTCAAAATGGAATATTTCGATGACGATCGTTGTGTATAAATTTGAACATTTGTTCCTAATTGACCAAGTATATAAATTCCGCCATCGGATCGAGTGACATATCCAGTAATACTACCTTCAAAATCTTTTGCTAACCGTTCGATTTGTCCATGTGTTAAATCTACAGAGTAGAGTCGTGATTGTGTTACACGAAATTTTCCATTACTCGAGCTGAAGGATCTTGTCTGATATAGAACTTGTTTACCGTCACATGATAGTTGTAAATCATATTCAATTTGTTCATTATTAGTCAATTTCGACAATAATGTGACATTGTGTAGATGAATCGAATAGATTTCAAAATTTTCGATATATTCGTAGAGCTGCAATGTTGATGCCAAAATAAGCATTTGTTCAGCTGGAGAAAATAGTAATTCGCTGATTTGAAAGGAAACTTTCTTCACAAGCATTCGATGTTTTCGATTGATATCAATACGATAAATCGAACTACGCTCTTTAGATTGATGTTCTCGATATTGAATGACATATTTCCAGTCGATTTCGTTCGAAAAGTTTTCTTTTTTGCTGATTTGTGATGTCAACATTGCAAAATAGAGCGATGAATCACCCTCGGACTCCGTAATAGCAGTGAGAGTTTCTGTTCCAGTTAGAATCGGTAATAACTTATCGAATTTAATCGAATAGAGATAAATATGCTTGTCGCTTTCCATGTTTGTTGTCGAATTTTCATGGATTAGTAATGCTATCCAATATCCGCTGGGTGACCATTTTGGTTTGATTGTCTCTGAAAGTTTGTTTGTAATGAGGTTTTTCTTCTGTGTTTGAGTTTCATACAAACAAGATTGTTCTCGAATGAATTACTTTCCCAATTCGGACGTTGAATATGAATCAGCAAATATTTACCATTGGGAGAAACACTCAATGATAAATAATTCGAATACTCGAAATATTCATCGAATATCAATTTTGACTGTGTGGAAATTCTTCTATCGAGCACTATTTCCAAAATAACCAACGAGTAGAATATCACTTTTAAGATTGGAAAAAAGATCTAGAATGCAAAAGAAAAGATTCTCTTTTTTGAATACCTGAAGGTGTTTTTTCATGCAACGAGAATATTATCAAAGTTTTATTCAACTGATCTTATACTTTGTTACACTGCTGGAACTATTATCGTAAAGTTTAGTGATATGATTGATCATTGTCGCGACTAAATTGTTTTGATATCGACATATTGACTAAAGATTTCGTCATCACAGGTCCCACGTTATTTTTCTATCAACTGATGACAAAACGCACCTGTACGCATACAAGGTCTTGCAACTAGATTCAACGCATGTGTTTTGCATTTAATATTACAGGTAGCTTTATTTTATTTGTCTCACTTAATCGCTTGATATTATCAAGTCAAATATCATTTTTCAAGCCTGAGATATAATTTGATGTTTGCATAAAACGTTGAATGAACAAAGTTACCGGCTTACTTGTCTCATGCCTATATTCGGATATATACCTTTGGAGCTGAAGTTTTGAAAATTGGATAAACAAGGAATGATTTTTTGGTCACGATCCTGTGAAACATGAAGTGATCTTTCAAAAACAACTTTGAAATGCAACAAGAATTTGAAAATGTTAAAAATGTAAAACACGTTAAATTGATGAAGTTATTTTTCGTACTAGAGACCGAACTGAATATTCAACAGGTGGGTTCGGTTTGTTTGGAAATAAGAAAAATCAATTGTTTTTAGACTCGGCAATTTCATTTGTCCCTAAAAAACATTCTCGCTTGTATGGAACCAAAATTTCTCAGGTACGCAGCTATTATCAATGTTAGAATCGTATCAGTTAAGATCAAATAGAAAATGTTATCTTCATTTTCTTATGCAATGCTCAACACAGATCGAATTTTTCTTTATACAATTCGAAATTTGTTCAGAATTAAAATTTATCGAAATTACAATTAGAGATCATATTTGGACATGTGTCGAGATTTTGTCTGACTCTATATGAAGCTAAATCGAATGAGATTGAGTTGGGACATGTAGACGTGAATAAACGTTGATAATCCGCATTGATACTTGCCCGAAGTCGAGTTCTATGTCATGTTGAATTTATCAATATCTTAATATGAGATGCAACGGAGAACAAGAAGGTCGGTTTCAAAACAGATCGAATCATAGAATGACTATCAAATAAAACCACTAGATTTCGAAAGAATAGCTAGGAAATATTTTCCATTGGTATTATCAACCAAATGCAATGCAAAATGTTGTGCTTGAGAAGAATTTCATAGAAAATGAATGTTGTTACAAAGAAGCTATCCCAAAGTTCTATAGCTTAGGTTCAACGACTCAGACACTCCGATCATTCTGGAGTTGGTAGTTGGGCATGACAATCAACGTTGTTTTTTGAAAATTGTCTCGCACGTGAATCGATTTAGCATTTTGTGAATCTTTTGTTGTGGATGAGCTAGTGAAAAATAGGAAGAGATATCCATTTGTTGACTAGTGTAGAATAGAAATGATAGTAATTAATTCAAATCCAGTACCTAACTGTCTTATGAACGTGTTTAAGACTGAAATTTCAACAGTTCGAAACTTTCATTAAAGATAACACGATCTTCTTTATAAAATATCTCTGAAATCTTATTGTTTAGGGAGATATTTATGAAAGTGAAAATTAAGTTTTCTCTTCATTCAAATAAACCACAACGTATTGTGAATGTTATCATTCTGTATCATAACTTTTGTTCTGATATCGTCAATTGACATATTCTCTAATTCATCGTTACGATCGTCACTAGGAGAGAAATCATGGAAATTCATTACAAAGAAAATTCGACTAGAATTACTTTAGAAAGAATTATCTGTCAAAAATGCGATCGTTACTAGTGCCGAAATGAATTTGGTTTGTTGAATTGGAGCTTTTTTGTTTTTAAAATTCGGTAAGAAAAAAGTTCAATATCCAGTATGTCAATTGTTAAATATCGTCACTACGGAATCCATTGTCATCCAGTAGAATGTCATAGAGAGCCGAACATGGTGCATCGGTTCTTGAAAACAAAAAAGATTAATCGATGTCGTTATAGGGTGACCCATAAATAACACGGCGATAAGAAATTGGAATATCTCTATTACGGCTCGAGCAAACGTGCTGATTTTTTTACCAGTGATAGAGGCATGTACCAAGTTTATATCCATAAAGACATGTCCAGGGAGACCCTTTGTTAAGTATCACTATTAAGCTCAACAAGAAAAATTTACTTTTTCACAGCTAGAAGAAAACGTCACTTTACCAAACACAATTAAATATCTCTGCTACGGCTCGAGCTAACGAGCTGATTCTTTTATCAATGATAGAGCCACGTTCAAGCTTTATATTCATAAAGACATGCCTAGAGAGATCCTTTATTAAGTATACTAAAGTTTTTTCTATCTGTGAAAAAGTGAATTTTTTCTTGTTGTGATCAGTAGTGATACTTAACAAAGCGTCTTCCTAGACATGTCTTTATGAATATAAAGCTTATACATGTCTCTATCACTAGTAAAAAAATCAGCTTCTTTGCTCGAGTCGTAAGGGAGATATTCAATTTTTTTTTGGATGGGTGACTTTTGGGCTATAAACAGGGTGGCCCAAAAGTCAGTTTGCCAAAATAACAATTGAATACCTCTATTACGGCTCAAGCAAACGGGGTGATATTTTTACCAATAATAGAGGCATGTTCAAGCTTCATATCCATAAAAACATACCTAGATAGATCCTCTGTTAAGTGTACTACTTTTTTTTCTATCTGTGAAAAAGTAAATTTTTCTTGTTGAGGGCAATAGTGCTACTTAACAAAGGGTCTCCCCGGACATGTCTTTATGGATATAAATTTGGTACATGCCTCTATCACTGGTAAAAAAGTCAGCACGTTTGCTCGAGCCGTAATGGAGATATTCGAATTTCTTATCGCCGTGTTATTTATGGGCCACCCTTATATCAAAATAGAACAACTTGCATAGCACTTTGTGAACGTAAATAGAAATTGAATTGCGACGGATGTGTAATATCTTGGCCGACAACGGTGCCCGCTTCAGCATTACTTATTCGTCTAATCATATTAGGCAAAGAAATATGTATTGTTGCGTTTTTTAACAACGATAAATATTAAACAAAGCAATGGATTTATGCCATCGACCATCAATTCAATCGAGACACTTTTTAACTTCAAAAGCCGAATTAATTTTCTGAATTTCATTATCAAGTATTTTTGAA